TATTTTTTTTTTTTTTAAAGTCATATCACAGCTTTCTCTCCTTTTGCCAGGGCCAGAAGTGCTGATGGCTGACACATAAAGGAGCCCAAAGCTGACAGGTCCTCTCGTTCATTTTGGGGGAAGAAAATAGTTTACTGTTTAAGCCTTAATGATTTTTGATCATTTCTTCTCAGTCCAGCAGCGAGGCACATCTCTGTCTAAAAGCATGATAGATTACACATGTTTATAACACGTAAACCGGAAATAAGAAATGTCAGGTAAATGTTCTTAATCATATTTTTTAAAGTCTCACTAGTTCTTTCTTTAGAGCCAAAACTGCTTGTTCAGTCAGTTCTCTCATAATCTGTGTTTATTCTTATAGGCTTTATTTAGTCTAAAGCAAAGTTAGAAAATATATACAGCAGTGTTTACATTAATATTATATGAAGAATCTGGTTTATGTACATGCTTAAGTGCCAGGAAATTCAAATTGCTCTCAGAGGGAGAGTGAGAGGGAGAGAAAGAGGGAAAGAGAGAGGGAGGGAGGGCAGGAGAGGAAGGAAGGAAGGAAGGAAGGAAGGAAGGAAGGATGGGAAGGAAGGAAGGAAGGAAGGAAGGAAGGAAGGAAGGAAGGAAGGTAGGTTGGTTTGAGTTGGATCTAAAACCTTCCATTTTTGCTTGCCCCACACCATTAATTCTATCTTAGGCATTTTAGCCCTCAATAAAGTCAAGTAAACTTTTGATTCAGAGAGCTTGGAGAAGCCTACTTGCCATGGGACATAATGAGATGTTAAAACTTCTCATTTCCCATGGCTCTTGTATTTGGTTAGTTATGTTATTGGGATTCTGACTAGTCATAATCATGATGCTGGGAGACAAGCAGCAGAATTGATGCAGAAACTAAAGTCAGCCGTCCCTTCTGGGTTTTGTTTCTCTTTCTGTGTGGCTAGCAAGTTACTTACACGTTACACTTCAGTTTCCTTATCTATTAAATGAAAAGCAAACAAAAGACCCTGGGGATTTGTGAGGATTACATAGCATGATGTAAGGCCCCTAGCACCGTGCCTGGCACATGGTCAATGCTCAAATAACTGCTAGAAAGCAAAGAAAAAAAGGATTTTCCCAAAGAGCTAATCACTTAAAACAAAATAAAACACCTCCAATTTATTGGCACAGAATCACAGAACTCTACTTCTGGAAGGGACTTTTAGTACCTAGTCTGGTGGCTGTATGTTTGTTTGTTTGTTTTGAAGCCAGTGTTCTTCAAATAGAATATTGTAAGGAAGCTGATGAGTCAAAGCAACAAAGTGGAGCTGAGACTGGGCAGGGTGAGGCGGCCACAGCTCCCTCTCCGTCCCTCCTCCACTGGAAGATGCTGATGCATCTGACACCTCCCAGAGCATAGTGTGAATCCAAAACCCGGCCTGCGGCCTGCTCCACCATCTCACCAAAGTGGGAATGGCCCAGAAGGTGAGGTTGTCTTTTCAGTGGTACAACCAGAGCGACATTCCTCTCGTTTTCTGGTACAGCCCACGAAAGAGAATAGATGGGCCAAAAAATGTGAGAGAGTATTTGACCAAATTCTTACAGAGAAACTTTTAAAAGATCTAGAGCAAGCATGTCAAACTCTCGAGCTTTAGTTCAAAATGTGTGAACCTTATTTTTTCTGTGGTAGAGGATAATCTTTTGGGTGGCCCGTTTCCATTTTTATGTTTATCTTTCAACTGTTTCTCGTGCCATTTAAGTTTTTCCCTGTGTGGTTCTAGAACCTTCTAGCAGCCTTGATGACAAATTGCAGTTGGGTAGATTTCCGTAAAATTTGAGTAGAAACAACTTCATTTTCTCCTGTACCTTCTACCTTAGCCTTCTATAGTCCCTTCTGATGCTAAAGAAAATGCTATGGTTCCTAAATGTTTTCACATTCTGGGGTATTTTACTTCAACCTCCTGACTAGAGTGTTCTTCCTGGCATATTAGCACAGCACAGAAACATAAACACGAAGCTGACCCAATGGAAGTTTGAAGTCAGTGTATTTTCTTTTTGAGATAAGGCGATGTTTGTACAAACAGCCTTGGACTTTATTTGGATAAGAAAAAAGATATAACACAATTTATGACTGCATGCTATTTCCAAATGTGGCTAATTTCCTGTTGGGTTATTCGTGTGTCTTGCTGTTCTTGTGAAATGCTTTAAGTCCTTTCATTTACTTTCAGAAAAGAACAAAGTTGAGTTGGGGGATAGTGTGGGTTTGGGATTCCTAATCGTCTTGAGAGCTGACCCAGATTCTCTGGCGCATACCTCTGTTTGCACTGCTTACCTGGGCTGCTAACAAGTTGCACTCATGTCCACTCCCCTGGACTGGAGACTCCATGAGGGGCATAGCCTTTAAAGATCTCTGTAAGGTCTCTATACCCAACTCACTCCCTAGATCAGAGCTGGTGCCAGAAATATTATTTATTGCCCTGGCTGGGTAGTTCCCTTGGTTAGAGCATCGTCCTGATATGCCACGGTTGTAGGTTCCATCCCCTGTCAGGGCACATACAAGAATCAATCCATGAATGCATAAATAAGTGGAACAACAAATCAATGCTTCTCTCTCTCTCTTTGTCTCTCTCTCTCTCTCTCTCTCTCTCTCTCTCTTTCTCTCTCTCTCCCCCCTTCCTCTCTCCAATCTCTAAAATCAATAAATAAAAATAAAAAATAAATATTTATTGACTGATTTTCCAAGAGACTTCATAGATTTTAATATGTACGTTGATAACTCCATTATTTTGGATTCCTATACCAAAGGAAAATACATAACATGATAGTATTCTATTGGTTTGAAAGATATATATATATTTGAATAAAAGAGTACTATTAGAACAAAGCCAAAAGATCCCTTGTAGGAGTGATAGATTTCAGTTTCTAGGCCAATTGAGCTAGACTGTAGACAAAATGAATTCGATAGCAATACATACAAGAATACTAACAAATATTTATTGAGCACTTTCTACATACCATGCAGTAATGCCTCTTCTAGGCATTTCTCAGATAGTACCCAAATGATTTTTACCACACCACCATGAGAAGGTTAAAAGTAAACATTATTCCCTCTGGAAAGATGGTTAAACTGAGGCAGAATGAGGCAAAGTGGTTTCCCCACGGTCCTGTCACTCAACGCTGGCCTTCTGCATCAGAGACCGGGTCCCTGTCTACAGGCAGCATTGTCTCATGTCTGTAACACAGGGTCTTCCGTAGGCTGTGAAAACAAAGATGTCCTCTTGTTCTCTTTTAGGTTTGTGGATGGCTCCTAGAAGATCTTGATTGGCTCCCGAGGAAATATCGTTTTGCTGGATTGGTTTCCTGTCATCCTGTCCCCCCAGTCAACCATGAGCCAGTCAGACCCTGCCGATGACCCGGATCCCAGCCCCGAGCCCCTGTGTGTGGTGTGTGGCCAAGCCCACTCCCCCGAGGAAAACCACTTCTACACCTACACAGAAGATGTGGACGATGACCTCATATGCCACATCTGCCTGCAAGCCTTGCTGGACCCTCTGGACACTCCCTGTGGACACACCTACTGCACTGTCTGCCTCACCAACTTCCTGGTGAGTAAGGACTTCTGCCCCCTGGACCGCCAGCCCCTGGTCCTCCAGCACTGCAAGAAGTCCAGCATCCTGGTCCACAAGCTCCTCAACAAGCTCACGGTGACCTGCCCGTTCGCCGAGCACTGCGCCGAGGTGCTGCAGCGCTGTGATCTGGAGCATCACTTCCAAACCAGGTAGGGCCTCTTCCTCACAGATCCTGAGCAGCCCCGCCCTCCAGGGGCAGCTGGGACTCACCTGTTCCTGAGGGCGGGGCTGTCTCCCAGGCCCTGGCCGCTCTGTGCGAAGCTTTGTTTGTCTTCTTTTTTGCAACCAATGAGAGGACTCATTCAAAATAAGTAACATGTTAGGTGTTATGGTCAGGGTTTAGTGTAAGGAAATGGCACATGGTCGAGTTATGTTATGTATGTGTTTACAGGGCTTTTTCTCTTTTTTTTGGTGGTAAAATAGACATAAGATGTAAGTTATCATTTTAATGATTTTTAAGTGTACAGTTCAGTGCATTCACGTTGTTGTGCAGCATCCCTCACCGTCGCCCATCCTCAGAACATTTTTCATCTTCCAGAACTGAAACTTTGTTTCCGTTCAACAAACACCCCCTCTCCCTCCCCTCTAGAATTGGTATCGTGATTCGACTTTCTGTCTCTATGAACTTGACTATTCTAGGAAACTAGAAAAGAGGGATCATTCGGGATTTGCCTTCTTGTGGCTGGCTACCTTCATATGCGTGCATTTTGAAATGTGAAAGATGACGGAAAGGTCTGGGAGCAGCTTTCTCTGAGGTTCACGGTCCCCAATAAGATTTCCAGGTGGGCCTTGCTTGTCTTTTCATGTAAGGAAAAAAAAGAGTCTCCTAACGTGACCCACAATTATTAGAACTTCCTCTGTACGGGACTTGGCAAAGCTCGGCTGTTCTTTGAAGAGATATAAGATATTTTCAACTAAGGATGAAAATGAGAAATTTAGAGAACTTTTGTCCTTTAAGCCAATTGTCCTATGAACTTTTCAGCCAAGGTGCACACACTGGCAGCAGGCCGATGGTGTGGCCGGCCCTGCTGGTGGGCTCTGTCCCCTGCGCCACCTGCCCGCCTCTGATTTTGTCCACCTGCATTCTCATGTTCTGGGCATTCCTCAGGGCGTCCCTGGGTCTTGTTCCACATGAGGTCCTCTCTTAGGACAGTTAAGGTGTTTAGCAAAGTGTAAACAGTAAGCCACAATTTTTTTGTAAGAGGAAATTTGGAAGCCGGTGTTTATCTTGGTTTCTGTCATGACCAGAGGCAGGTGCAGATATTTTTTCTAAAGGTCACATTCCTTAGGACATGAATCTGTCCTTGTCTTTGGGTACATGCCGATTCTCTAACATGAAGTTTGCCTCCAAAGCAATGGCCTGGGTGTAATGCTTCCCACATGGTTCCATACCAGGAACCAGTTACATCAGTGAACTCGTTTTTCTCCCCACGATGGAGAACCAAATGCATCAAACTCCGGTGCCTGGGTTGCCTCTGACCCTCTGTTATTGTTGGTATTTAAGCTAGGATGCTTCTCTTCTCTGATTGACTGGAAGGAGGTGTGGCTGGAGGAGAAGGAGATAGGGAATCTATCTGTGACCTTTGCTAAAAGTTTTACCCAGGTAGGGGAGGTATTGTCTGGAGGGAAGTAGGCCTGGGGTCAGAGGTGAGGTAGGAGCTGCAGATGCTGGTACAGAACCGGGGCCAAGACTGGAGCTGAGAAGGCCCTGGTATTCCTATGTTCCTGGGTTGTTGCAATTTATACATTTGTGTTTGGGTTTCCATTTATTGCTGTAACAATTGATCACAAACTTAATGGCTTTAAAGCACAAAAATGTGTTAATTTACAGTTCTGAGGGTTCTAGTTCCAACCTGGGTCTCAGGGTGTTGAGAGGGCTGGTTCGTTTTGGCTGTACAGGGAGAATTGCTTGACCTGCCTTTTCCAGGTTCTGGAAGCCATCTTCCTTCCTTGGCTTGTGGTCCCTTTCTCTATCTTCAGGGCCAGCAGCATAGAATCTCTCTCTCTCTCTCTCTCTCTCTCTCACTCTCTCTCTCTCTCTCTCTCTCTCATCGCATCTCCTTCTGTGACTCTGGCCCTCCTGCCTCCCTCTCATGAGGGCACTCATTACATCCACCTGGATAATCAGGATCCTCTCCTCATCTCAAGAGCCTTACCTTGGCCACCCCTGCAAATCCCTTTGGCCCTGTAAGATAGCAGATTCACAAGTTCTGAGGATTAGGAATTGGACATCTTGGGGTGCTCATTATTCTGCCCACCGAAGGAGTTTTTCAGGAAAAGGAGGAAAAAGAGAGAGAAGGAAATACATGGAGGCGCTCTCTGGAGAGAAAGTGAAAACCCAACAGGTCCCCCGCACCCCCTCACCTAGAGCTAATTTGGGGCCCAGAATATCCTTTTAAAAAAAATCAAGATAAGATGGCACATGAGGGCAAGGCCAGAGCAGAAGTGGGGCAGGGGAAGGGCTGGGAAGAGGATGTTGAGGACTTGTGGGGTTTCCAGGAGGGAGATGCCACAAGCCCACCTAGCTGTCCAGGTGGGAATTTCATTCACCGCCCATGCAGGTTGTGTGGCCCACACACCTCAAGGAACCCTGGGATAAAGGCTTGATGACCCCTCAGCTGAGAATGGCATGCACATTGGGAAAACAACAGTGAGGGGAAAAAATGCAAAACTAATTAAAATCACCTCTATGAGCTGTGGCCTTGGAGCCCTTCACAGGTGCCCGTCAGCAGCTCTCTGGAGGGAAAACTCCCACGGGAGGAGGCGCGGTGCCTCAGCACGCGCTCTGGATCCTCTCCACACTTCAACTTCCTAAGTAGGTTGAAACCAACATTTCCAAAAATATGGTGCATGTTAGTCATCAAATGCTTAATATACACTTCCTCTCCTCCCAGCCCCTGGGCATTTTGTTGGCAAGGATAAAGAATTTGGAGCTAATCCAGAACCTGAGTCCAGAGCCCTCTTGGGCCTTAGGCCTGGGCCTGAGCCAGTAGACCCCCTCTTCCTCCCCTGAGAAGGGACATTAAGATTAAATGGTTATCCTCGGACTGGGAAAACTGAGAGGCAAGTGTTTCCTTACGTTTCTGTGTGAGGCCTCCAGGTTGGTGGCTGCCTGCAGGGGGGTGTTGTCATAGGTTTGTACTAGAAGATTGCTTTGTTTATCAATTTTGCATCTTGGTTTCAGGATTTAGATGTAATGAGTTTAAAAAATGTTCTTTGGCCTCTGGCATTATATGAATGTAAACTTTGCAGGCAGAATCTACCTACTATGGAGAACTCAGCATTAATTCTGGTTGAAAACCACTGTGCGACTCAGAGGAGCCCACATACTCCCTCCCAGGAGAGCTCAGTCCTGAGCATCATGGGAAACTCCATACTTAGATGTATCTACCTGTAAAACGAGAATTGGCTCCTTAATTACAAGATCTGGCAGAAATAACCACATCAGCAATGTTTTCATTCTCTAGAAAGGACCATCAGGTAGAGAGAAATGTTTTCCCCGTCAGCCAAGGTCTCGGTTTATGGGCTGTCCATAGAATCGTGCTAATAATAGTAGTCCACTTGAGTCAGGGATGCAGGCAGATGGCATCTCATCTGTAAACAAATGCTGCCTGTCCTCCCCAGAATTTGTGTCATTTATAAACATTGTTATCTAAGCACTCCAGATCCTTAGTTGAATATAAACCCTTAAGGAAAACATTTAGGACAGACTGTGGGTGTGCATGACTGGCTGGATCAGCAACTCCTTGGACCACTATTTCTGACTTCAGACTAGAGAGCTCTTCTATGGGAGTAAATCTGGGCATGTGAACTAATGTTTGAAATCCTCTGGCTAATTCTGTTGGCTTCTGCCCTCTTCGATGCTTGCAGATGCCCTCACATGGGTCTTCTGCAAAGAATTCCCACGAGGCTGATGGGCTTGTCAAATCAAATGGCAGCCTTCCTAACCAAGGGGCATTGCCAGCAGACATAGCCAGGGCGCCACAGAGGGCCAGTTCAATGCATCCCTCTTGGCCCAGACTATCAGGGGGTGTATGGAGGAAGCAAAGCTTTCACTTCCTTGATTCTGAGTGGGAGTGATCTTAGGCTCAAGACTACATCTTTATTCTGTAATATCATCATCTGCGTCTGTAATATTTATCAAGATCCACAATAGGCCAGGCCCTGAAAGAAGAAAGAAAAGTCTATATGAGCCATGATATCTGCCTCTGAGGAAATGACATTTTAAAGGTAAAAGAAGTTGAAAGCACACCCACACTGAATTGTTTCATAGGACAAGTCACTGTGCCCTTAATTTCTCTCTTATGGAAGACTAGAGGCCTGGTGCACAAATTCGTGCGTGCGTGGGGTTCCTCAGGGTGGCCTGCGGATATTGGGCCCCAGCGCATGTCCCCAGGCTCGCAGCCCCAGCATGCGCCTCCCGCAGCCCCACAGCCCCACAGCCCCGCAGCCCCGCAGCCCCGCAGCCCCGTAGCCCCGCAGCCCTACCTGGCACCATGCCATGGCCTGGTGCTGCCCCTTCACCTGCTCCACCATCCCATCTGCAGGACGATCGGTTGGGGCCTCCTGCCCAGCTCCCTCAGTGCCTGGGAGCCGGATGGTGGCCCCACCCACTGCTGCCACCGCCACAGGTCCCCATCTGTGCGGCGATCGCCCCCTGCCCCCCTCACACCTGCCTTGGCCTGGCACCACTGTCCCGCTCTCATTGGGGCCCATCAGGGCCAGCAGCGCCTCCACTGCCACCCACTGCCAGTGTCGCCAACACCCACCGTGTTCTGTGCCACCCCCTGGTGGTCAGCGCACATCATAGCAAGCGGTCGAACTCCCAGTCTCCCAGTCGAACTCGCAGTCAAACGACTGCCCAAGGGGACAATTTGCATATTAGGCTTTTATTATATGGGATAATAGAAATGGGAGATAATAACGCTGCCTCTTCTTAAGTACTTACTAGCATGAATAAAGAGATCTTTGTTCACTGTTTTGAAATCAGCCCTGAATGAAAATCCAATACAATTGGCACACCTGACTGAAGGCTCTCTGGTGTTATTTTGTTGATTGACTTTGCACCCCAGTGTCCTGGAAGTTTCTTCTCCAAAGGCCTACCCTGGAACCTCTCTTGACCTTTACTTCTATCAGAGGCCCTTTTCTG